TTCGCACTTTCTCGCTTCGCTGTGCTCCTGATATATATTTTGGACGGGTGGCTTGGCGCGCCAAGAGGTTAAGAAACTACATTCTATTCACACTTTCTCGCCTCTCTGTGGTCTTTATATGATTCTTAAAAGAAAAGTTTGTACCAGGAGAGCGTATTGCATATAAGGATGCTCGTCAAGAAATTACAACCTAGTTCCATATTCTGTTTTTTTGAAATCTTGTATTAGGAGAACATATTACAGTAGAAAGTTTTTGTTAATTGTGTAGCGGGTAAAGAAATGTTTTAGAAAAACACATCACACGTAGCGTTTCTGCAATCATGATAAAATTGGTACCAGGAGAACATAGTGTGGCAGGTAATTGCGGACGCGTTCGCAAAGGCGGATTTTTAACTTTAATGCAAATTGCTACTTTTTCCCGTCGAAATTGCGAGAAATTTTCGATCGTCTCGCTCGAGTTAATGGTAAGATTGCGTCGGATCATGCACGAGCTCCCTCAAAAGGAACGACGCCCCGCGTCTTCGCCGCCGTCCGAGCCGAAGAAACGAATTACAAAACCTGAGAGCAAATTTAAATTCTTATTAATAATGATCAGCCGTACTTTCTATTACCATTTCGGAGAGCGACGGCGCGGTCGTCCTCCATAATTTACAAGTTAATTAAGCAAAATCCTGCGAGATCTTAATGGGGTAGAATTCGGCTGACCGGGAATGATTCGTTTCATGAATTTTTTATTAACGCGCCTTTCCATACGAAAAAGATACGTTTCGCTCCGGTCTCGCTTTTCATCTAAATTCGAGAGATACTTAATTTATCGCTCGGTATATGAAAATTCATTTAGCCGCCGCTAATTAAGTTTGCCGGTTTTGATGTGAGACAAAGCCGTTCGGTTGAATTACGGCCTAGTTCGGTGGAGAAGTGGAGGAGATTAAAATCAGCCAGGTCGTCGGTTGTTCTTGCGACTAATTAGACGCTGTCTTTTGTATTTTAAAATCGCCCAAAAACTATCAGGAGATTAGGCAAACTATTCTCCTGATCCTTGCAACTCATGCTTTCCTAATACCAAACGAATCTCACCTTCAGAAGCAGAGAAGTTGTTGATGACTCATATTCTCCTAATACTAAAAATTCCATAAATACGAATATTACATTGGGAAAACATACCAAAGTAATGAGTATCAGGGTCATAGAAAGAGAAACAAATTTATTTGAATCATAATCTCCTAATACTTTTCGAAAGTCTGTATCATTGGTACCTGCAGAAAGGAGAAAGAGATTAAATGCCGATGCGTAATGCACCCAATATCAAAACTTGATAAAAACTAAAATTAGTTCCGGGAGCAGGAAAAAGGATGTCGATCGATTGCCGAATACTCCCTCGCAACGTTTTATTTTAGCGGAAAATATTTATTTGTGCGTACATCTACTGCGACGTCTTCGTTAAGGGGCACAATTTTATTACATTGCGGGAAATAACGTAAAACGTATGTATATGTTCTTGCTTGTATTTTTCTTGTTCCTTTGGGATACTAAATTTTATTGTGGAATTTGATTCTGATCACAATTGGCGCCTAATGCTAATCTTATACGACATTTGACTGTTATGTTTTCCTGATAGAATTTTCGTCAGGATATAAGGAATGCAAGATGAAAATAGTAAATAATTTATTTTCGTGATCTCCTGATACTTTTCTTCGAACATCATTATAAATGGGCTCGCGAGAAAGCCAAGAGGTAAAAATGCTAAATAGTTTTGACAGTTTCTAATGTATTATATTCTCCTGGTACAAATTTGACATTATGACATACTTTATTGTGCAACCGCCGCATGTGCTCCTGATCAGTATCATCAGATTTTCGTGATCTCCTGATACTTTTCTTCGAACATTATTATAATTAGACTCGCGAGAAAGCCAAGAGGTAAAAATGCTAAATAGTTTTGACAGTTTCTAATGTATTATATTCTCCTGGTACAAATTTGACATTATGATATACTTTATTGTGCAACGGCCGCATGTGCTCCTGATCAGTATCATCAGATTTTCGTGATCTCCTGATACTTTTCTTCGAACATTATTATAATTAGACTCGCGAGAAAGCCAAGAGGTAAAAATGCTAAATAGTTTTGACAGTTTCTAATGTATTATATTCTCCTGGTACAAATTTGACATTATGACATACTTTATTGTGCAACGGCCGCATGTGCTCCTGATCAGAATCATAAGATTTTCGTGATCTCCTGATACTTTTCTTCGAACATTATTATAATTAGACTCGCGCGAAAGCCAAGAGGCAAAAATGCTAAATAGTCTTGACAGTTTCTAACGTATTATATTCTCCTGATACAAATTTGACATTATGACTTACTTACTTTATTGTGCAACGGCCGCATGTTCTCCTGATTGTATCAGTATCATAACAGCGTGTGGAGATGTAAATGGGACTATTCTATCAGAGTACTAGGAATGCAGGATGTAAATACGTTTTTATTGTATCAGGCTTACAGAGATGCATTTGCATTTGGAGGTCGGTGGTAAATAGTTTTTTTCTAATTCATCAAAAACAGAGCGATCGTTCCCCAAAATACCCCCCAGGAAACGAAATGTGTGATGACCCTCTTTTGAAACTATCATCATAGTTTTCAGGACAAGGTAATCCATCCCTTCTGTGTGCTGGGGGGTTTTCCATACCCCCGCAGACCCCCCGGTTCTACGTTCCTACCTACAACGTTCAGCCCTAGAACTTTCGTGTATTTATCTTCCAGAAAAGGAAAAATTCTTGACATTCTCAAAAATTCATCAAAAACATGGCGATCGTCCTTCGTTTTGGGGGTAGCGGGGAGTCTGGGGGGTATGGAATACCCCTCAGCAAACGAAAAGTGTGATGACCCTCTTTTGAAACTGTCATCATAGTTTTCAGGACAAGGTAATCCATCTCTTCTGTGTGCTGGGGGGGTTTTCCATCCCCCCCCCCCCTCCCCCCCTGTACTACGTTCCTACCTAAAACGTTCAGCCCTAGAACTCTCGTGTATGTATCTCTGATAAGAGGAACAATTCTTGACATTCTCTAAAAAATTCATCAAAAACATGGCGATCGTCTTTCATTTTGGGGGAGGGGGGGATTAGTACCGGGGGGTCTGGGGGGTATGGAATACCCCCCAGGAAACGAAAAGTGTGATGACCCTCCTTTGAAAATGTCATCATAGTTTCCAGGACAAGGTAATCGATTCCTTCTGTGTGCTGGGGGGTATTCTATACTCCCCCAGACCGCCTGGTACTACGTCCCTACCCAAAACGTTCAGCCCTAGAACTTTCGTGTGTTCCTTCCAGAAAAGGAAAAATTCTTGACATTCTCTAAAAATTCATCAAAAACATGGCGATCGTCCTTCATTTGGGGGGGGGGGATTGTACCGGGGGGTCTGGGGGGTATGGAATACCCCCCAGGAAACGAAAAGTGTGATGACCCTCTTTTGAAACTGTCATCATAGTTTCCAGGACAAGGTAATCGATTCCTTCTTTGTGCTGGGGGGTATTCATAACCCCCCCCCCCCCCAGAACCCCCCGGTACTACGTCCCTACCCACAACGTTCAGCCCTAGAACTTTCGTGTATGTATCTCTGATAAGAGGAACAATTCTTGACATTCTCTAAAAATTCATCAAAAACATGGCGATCGTCCTTCATTTTGGGGGTGGGGGGGGATTGTACTGGGGTATGGAATACCCCCCAGGAAACGAAAATGTGATGACCCTCTTTTGAAACTGTAACATAGTTTCCAAGGACAAGGTAATCGATTCTTCCTTTGTGCTGGGGGTATTCTATAACCCCCCCCCCCCCAGACCGCCTGGTACTACGTCCCTACCCACAACGTTCAGCCCTAGAACTTTCGTGTGTTTATCTTCCAGAAAAGGAAAAATTCTTGACATTCTCTAAAAATTCATCAAAAACATGGCGATCGATAAAAACATGGGGTGGGTTAGTAGCCGGGGGGTCTGGGGGGTTTCTTCAAGTACTATGTTTTCTTTATTCAATTTTTGTGTGAAAAGAGTTTTTTGATATTTTATATTCTCCTGATACAAATTTGAAATGATTCTATTGTTGTCATAGGAATGTAAAAAGGTAACCGAAGGGGTGTAGGAAATAATTTATTATCCAACGGCTTCTCAAACATTGTTGTATCAGGATCACAAGAACATGTAGGGGTGTGAGGAAATCTAAGAACCTAAGTATTGTTATCCTGATACAAATCTTTTCGAAAATCAATACGTCATAATACCAGAATCTAAGATTTAATTAAAAATAACACTTTCTGACGTTTGGTTCTCCTGATATTGTTTAGAAAAGATTATTATGTGATTTAATGTTGTCTATTTCATACATTCTGTTCTCCTGATTGATCAGGATGGCAGGTACATATGAAAGTGTAAAGAAATATAACACTAAATAGTATGCTTTCTTGATACAAACAGAAAATAATTTCCGAACAAAGTTTTCGTGATGTGCATTCGACGTTTTGGTGAAATGAAGATCGTATCGCCATCTATCGGCGGTAGATGGTAGCTGCGGATTAACCGAAATTAATTACCTCCCGCAAACAATTTATCAAAAACGGGCGAAAAGAACAATTCATTGTCCCTCCGAAACATTCATCGGGGAGACATTGAAAAGTTTCATAAGAATAATTAAGTCCCCCCCCCCCCCCGCCACGCACTTGCGGCTAATGAAATTTTTATTAAATCCGGCAGGAAGCCTATAATTTTCTTTGCTTGTTACACACTGACGACCGAAATTACCTGCAATACAAAATCCCTCCCGAATTTGGCGCTTTAATTAAAGGGTAAACTTTGGAGGCTTTACGCGACGTCTCATCCAATTTACGTTCAACAAATTTGAAAAGAAAACTTCGCCCTCGCCGCACCTGTTCTGGGCGCGTCCCCCGATTTAGACGACGGTATCGTGGGGTCGTTTACGATTACGCAACTAACGCGCGCTTTAATTTCAGGATACCTCGCCGTGGAGATCGACGTGCAACCGAAAGAAATCCTCGCACTTCCACATCAGAATGTGTCGTTTATGTGTCGTGTGGCCGATCACCTCCAGTACTGCAGGATGGAGGTGCCCGGTCTCAATGTACTCAACTTGAATCCGAACCAGACGCCCTACAGGGGGGTAAGTATCGAAATGCCGGAGTGACTTTAGCTTGATGCCTCCTCTTTCAGGCGGTCTACTATGGCAGCGGCCTGCACTTGGGGCAGTGCGGTCTGAGTCTCGAGAGCGTAAACGAGGAGAACAACGGCGAGATCAAGTGCACGCTCGGCTTACTCACCGAATCGCAGGAGTCCTCGGCAACGATGCGCCTAATAGTCGCAAGTAAGTCGCGATTTTCTCACGCCGAAGAGTTCTAAATGGAATTTTTAGGGGAGCCCCGACCGCCTCAGCTTGAGATACAAAATTCGGATCGTTACTGGGCGTATAAGGTCGGAGACGTCATTCACGCGACGTGCATAGTCCGTGACGGGCGACCGGCCGCCAACATCTCCTGGTACTTAGGTAAGGGTAAAGACTTCGTCTGGCGATCTGTACCGATCTCGTTTGCAGATGACGAGCTGATACCGAACGGTTTTCTCTCGCCGCCGACGATTATACACGGCAACCGGGGCGATCTGCAGACCGTTTTCCAGAATCTGACGAAGGAGGTGCGCCCGTCGGACAATGGAAAGGCGCTAAAGTGCGTCGCGCATCATCCTGCACTGACCAGCAATAACGTTGTGTATCGACAATTGAATGTGACGTGTAAGTATGCTTTCTGCTCTCCTGATAGTTATTTCTTGTAGCGGCCAGTCGGAGCTTCTTGCACTTTTAGTCTCTTGATTAATTCTTCTTATCACGAGACTGAGATCAGGTTTCTGTAACAATGAATTTATTGGTTCTGCGATCCTGGTACATTAATTTGTTATAAAGACAGTCTTCGTGGGCCTTTAGCCTTCTAAATTACCAAATACTTAAATTATGTAAAATAAATTTTCGTTCTCTGCACCCGATACCAGCTCTTCATTAGTGTGGAATATCTCCAAATCTCTGACGCTCCCTCCAAAATGCTCAGAACCAATTACACGGTCTTAAAACAATTTCCGAAAAAGGGATTTTCTATTTTTTCCGAATTCCGAACTCCTCTCCAGAGCTTCTTGGACTTCTAGACTCCCGGAAGAAACTGAGATGCGGTTTATATAAAATGCTGTGCTCCTAATATATTTGTTTTTTGAGAGTGGGGGAATGGTCTAAATAAGAAATGACATTTGTTTTTTTAATTAGTAAAGACGCAAGAACGGTTTTGTCAACGCGCGTACTACTTCTATGATTTCTGGTGTCCTAATAGAGACAATTTTCAAGCCTGGTTTGATATTCCGTTCTGTTCTCCTAATTCAGTTAGTCTGATTCAAAAGGGACACTACTCCTTGTCTCTTGTCGAGGAAACCTGGCTCAGTTTAGCCACAGTTTTCTAAACTACCAGGAGAACAAAATCGATCTCTGTGCTCTAGAAAAATGTTCCAATGCTTTATTTTCACTTAAATCTCCTAAACTACTATTAGAGGAGGTTTTTGTTTCTTAATACACAGAGAATCGTAAAGAATTCTCTGGCTACCAGGAGAACATAATAGACACTCAAAAAAACTCTTTTTCTAGACGCGCCCATTCCGCAGCTAAATCCAATCGACAAGTTCGGCTACAGTCTCGGCAAAGAAGGCATCATCTCACTGGTGATCGAGGCGAACCCCCGGCCGCACCTCGAGTGGACGATACGCGACCAAACGATCAAGGCGGGCGGTCACGACAGCACCGGCCGCATAATGGCCGAGGAAATACGCGACCTGGTCAGTACCTTCCGCTCGGTTCCGCCTCTGTTCAACTCTGTTTTCAGGGACGGGGCCTGTACGAGGCGGTCCTGATCATCGCCGACATTCAAAAGCACGACACCGAAACGCAGTACATACTCAAGGTCTACAACGACATGGGAAGTCAGGATTACGTCATCTTAATTTCGACCAGTCCCGAGCCGGAAGGTAAGTCGAGGAGTTTTGCGCGTGCGCAATGAACAAAGTGCGTTTTTGCAGGGTTTAAAAAGTTTTTTAGGGAAAGTATTAATTGTAAGTACCCGTCGGCGAGCGCATGTCGGTAGATTTAGTGCATGAAGTTGTTACGATCAAAGCTTTCGAATTTTTGATAATAGAGAAGGTCTTACACCTTCTGTGCTCCTGATGCTACTTTAAAAAGTATTCTCGCTTCATTTTGTGAATGTTTTGTTACAGTGTGGTATCAATTAGAAACTTCCTTGAGGTAGTAGGAGAGTAAAATGCATTAGATGCTGCCCGTTTGATGTCTTGTTAATGTAAACTAAGGGTTCTGTACTCCTGATACTTCTTACATTTAAAGCATTAAATAATTCCTTAGCAGTTAATAAGCTGCTGATCTCCTGTTACTACTTCTATATTAGTCGTGGATTTATCACAGCCCTTGGTGGCAGCTGTTAAAGCCAGTACACTCTTCTGTGCTATTCTCCTGGTATTTGTGTTGATTCCCTAAACCCTTATTAGGTGCTCGTTAGATCTATGATTGAATATCATTGACCTAGTCCTAGTGTTTCTGATACTTGTTAATTAAGAGATGGAGGCAAGTGCACTATTAGGGAAACATAAGCAGTTGACATTATTTTGTGACATTTTTCCAGCCTCCTTTCCGTCTTCTGCTGCTGTTCTTGCCTTTCCCAAATTCCTCAAGATTTCATGCTTGCTTTATTCCAGATCTTCACGATTTCACTCCTCCTCCCGTCGCCCCTTTCGTGCCCTTTTAACGACCTTTTTCTTTAATCTTTTTCGACCTCATTTGCGTCCTTCTGTACGCCTCCTTCACTGTCTTTTCCTGATTTCTTCACGATTTTGACCGCATCTTCGCGTCTTGTTTACACTTCTCTTACGTCCTCTTTGCGTATATGATTTTTGTATCTTTTCTTCCTTTTTTCGCGCCCATTTTAAACTTCCTTTACGTGATGCCTTTTGCGTACTTCCTTCTCGCCCCCTTCATCTCGACTAGCGATGCAACAGACCTCTGCTTCCGTTTCGGCAAGTGCGGAAGTTCTGCATATTTTTCACTTCCCTTTCCGCATAGCTTTGGCTTCATCGGCTGCGCCGCTTCGCCTCGTCCTGTTAATTCCCTTTGGAAGTGACGTTTTAATTTCGATAACTGCCGCAGTTTCAGGACGAGGCAAGGCGGCGAAACCGAAGTTGTGTTCCTTATTATATTAAAAAGACTTCAATAGGGACATAGCTTCGGGCGTCGATTCATCCTGTTATTTGCCTACGGAAGTGACGTTTTAGTTTCGACAACTTTGCCAGCGAGAGGCGAAGGCGCCGCAACTGTAAATAGGAATACAATTGGGACATAGCTTCCGACTTCGCAGCTGGGCCGCCTCGCCTCGCTCTGTAAAATTCTCTTAGGAAAGAACGTTTAGTTTTTGACAACTTGTCTCGTAGCAAGCTAGGGCGAGGCGAGGCGGCGCTTAGCCGCCGTAAGCCGAAGCTATGTCCTTTATTGTACTAAAAAGAATACAAATAGCGGAACGTAGCTTCGGCTTCGGCGGTTGGGCCGCCTCGCCTCGCCCTATAAATTCCCTTTGGAAAGAACGTTTTAGTTTTGACAAATTTCCCGCAGCAACAGGGCGAGGCGAGGCGGCGACAGCCACCGATGCCGAAGCTATGTCCTTTACTGTACTAAAAAGAATACAATAGGGAACATAGCTTCGGCTTCGGCGGCTGCGCCGCCTCGCCTCGCCCTTTTACTATAGCAAAGTGGTTAAAATTAAATTCCAAAGGGAATTAATAGGGCGATAAGATTATTGCGCAGAAGGGAGGGGGTGAAAAACCCCCAGCAAAGAAGATCAAAACTTCCTTTTCTTGAAAATTCTTTTAAAACCATAATGGGTTTGGATCTTCTATTTTCTTCATTTTGTTCTTCTCTTCTGTTTTCTTCACGTCTTCTTTAAGACTCTTTCGTCTACGATTATCTTGCTTCTCCTTTTCATTCTCTTGGTCTTTTCCGTGTTTTTCTCTTGCCTCAGTTTTGCCTTGTGCTTTATTTTTTTGCGTCTTCGTCTTCATCACAATTTTTTTTATTGAACCAACCTCATCTTTCTCCACGTCTTCTTTAACCCTCCTTCACAGATCTGTACCGTATTCTTCTGTGTGTTCTCTTTCATGTTCTTCTTCGCGCGTTTTCTCACTTTTCTGAATATTCTTTCGGTCGTCTTTTTCGCTCCTTCTGCTCTCATTCAACTTTTATCCTCTTCCACACTTCCTTCATTAATTTCGCACGTGATTTTTTTCACGATCTTTCTCTCCTTCCTCACGGTTCCTCCCTCCTTGTTTACTCCCTTGATCTACATAACGTCTTCCCTTTTACCAATGTCTATACATTTTGCCGCCTCTTCGTTTCGTTTTATTCATCTTGACTTTACATTAGTGATGCAACAGAAGTGTTTTAACGGAAGCAGAATCGGACAACGTATTTTTTTGCGACAGCGGAAGTGTAAAATACTATTATAAATCTGGAAGGAATGAAAGTAAACAAAGGCTAACAGGTCGCAATACGTCTGACGGCCTGCTCGACTAACAAACCCCCCACGACTCACGTCACGGACTATCCCGATCGGTCAATCAGAGCCCGCAGCTCACATTGCCATATTTGAAACCTTCCGCTATCAAATAGCGGAATCGGATGCGGAAGCGGAAGTGAAAATATGCAGAACTTCCGGAAGCAAAGATCTGTTGCATTTTATTGAATCCCGTTTTCTATTAGAAAAGCGGTTCGCCAATTTGAAAATGTTCCCTCAGGTAAATTCGCTTGTAAATGCAAGGCCTTGCTACGAATCGGACTACTGGCGTGCACTAATAACCAATCGGAAATCGGCATTTTCGTCACGGCTTTAAACACAATGGAAGCTTTTAGGTCCCAAGAGATCGTGGCAACCGCTCGTGCTTTCCCCAATACTTGCTATCGCCAGACATACTTTCGTTCACGTTCGCTATAAAGCGGTACATGTGGAAATTGTGCTCTCCACCATACCAATCTTCTCACTATGCCTTTAGAACTTTTTTGCACTAGGTCGTCATTTTAAAATCATAAAGTGCATGCATCGGAGAAGGTAGGGGATGCCCGTGTTTGTTGGTCATGCGTCTACCGTTCGCGTTGCTCACGATTTCGTACTTTCAGATTTGGAGATGGGAGTGCTGTCGATTATCGGCATCGTGGTCGCCGTGCTGCTGCTGCTGGTCATCGTCTTCCTGGTGATCTTCGCGCGGGTGACGGGACGCTGGTGCTTCTCAGGTAGGTGTCAAACATAGCGCGCGTATTTATATCTTATCTGTCTGTCTGTGTCTAAATGTTGGCATCGCACGCGTGCGACTCCTTAATAATCGATTGCCTCTTGTTAACAAATAAAAGCTAATTCTTGAAGGCAAGTATGCGGTAAGTTGAGCATGTGTAGATATTGTGCATGACGAACCGTAGTCTGTATAGTAGTTTCGCTTACTCTTATTGTTTTTCGCTTCTCATCCTTGCCTTCCCCTTGAGAATGCAGAAATTAGCTTTTGTTTGTTTGTAGGAGGCGAACGTGTGATTGACTACTCGAGTGGCGCCGGATGCGAGACTAACGACGCTGGAAACGAGGGGCTCGGCGGCGGTGATGGTGTCGACAATCCGCACCATCAGACGTCGCAGGAGTACATTAACGGGAATAACATTGTGATTAAAGACGCCGAAAAAAAGATAGACACTGCGGTTTGAGAGACCTAAAGTTAACGTTTAGATCTATATAGTGAATGTTTTCAAATTCTCTCTGTGTGAATGATGACAAAATAAGGCTGACCAAGTGACGCATCAGACAGTTCTCGTTCCTATCGTTAGATTAGCGATGTCCGTTGCATGTTAGTGTGTTACCGATCTTGCCGACAGCGCAGCTCCAAAATTGCCATAGTTTATATATGGCCGATCGTAAAATCGTTTTAGTTTAAGGTTGCAGGTTAAGTACTTAAAATACTCGACATTCCAGTCCCGTTCGGTGATAAATTATATTTCCGTTTTATTTTTT